TGGTTTAGTGAGTTAAGAGTTAGTGAGTTCTTTTGATTTTCTTTAGTGGTCATAGACCTAAAGGTAACATAAATTTCAAGTAAACTTTTCCTGAGGTTACTTTAAACTTTATAATGTAATCACAAACAGAAATCCCTAAAAGAAGTAGGAGGAAAGGGAAAGTATTTTTGTTGGTAATTGTTTTTAAATGAAACTTATTTGATTAAAGTCTTCTACTACTCCTTTCTAGAGTTGTAGTATAGTTGATTTAAAGACAAAACAACCCAAAAAATAATTTGTGATAGATATGTTCTTCATTAATTCATTTAAATTTGGAACATACAAATATTTTAAAAGGAATAATAGCCCTATGGACGTTTAGTTTAGACACAAAGATCTGAAAATTGATGATGATGACGTTGTGTTTGGAGATTACTCTCTCCAAAATTTATAACTTATTTTTCCTCACAAAGCTTAAAATTTATAACTTAAATTTCCACATAATATTCTCTGTCAAATAAAGAAAAACTAAGCAGATACTGTGGACTTTCCCAGGGTACCAGGGCAGATCTCTTTGATGATATGGTTTGTAAAAAACAAGTCCTAAAGAGAGAAGAGGAGAAGTAAGCCAGAGAGAACTGGTGTTTCAGACAGAGAGAAAAACAAGTCCTGTGGCCAGTGTGACTTGAATGGAATGAACAAAAGACAGGAGAATTGTAGGAGATGAAATCAGAGAAATGGGGAGGGTGAGTGGGTGTCAAATTATAGTTCTTAGAGGCCTTTGTAAGCGCTTTGGCTTTTGTGCCAATGAGCTGGACTCAGTTGGATGGTTTAAGCAGGGGAGTGACATGATCTGACATTCTTTGAAAGTCAAAGTCTTGAAGTCTAACTGACTTGTTAAGGTGACTGAGAGAATCTGGGATATTTGACAGGGAATGATTATAATAGTTTAGATATGGAATAAGGTGGCATGGACCATGGAAGAACTGGTAAGAGTGGCAATATTATGGATATCTTTTGAATTGGAGTTCCCAGGAGGAACACTTCATGAATTGGAATGAGTACTTATGCACACAATGTCTACTTGTCTTATCTTTTTTCCAGGGATTGAACTTAGCTGCACTCAACCACTGAGCCACATCCCCAGCCTTTTTTTGTATTCTATTTAGAGAAAGGTTCTCACTGAGTTGCTTAGAGCAAGTTGCTGTGGCTGGCTTTGAACTCACAATCCTCCTGCCTCAGCCTCCAAAGCCGCTAGAATTACAGGTGTGTGACACAGCACCTGGCTTATCATTTTGTTTAAATAATTTTTTTAAAGATGTAGTTGAGAACATACATTTATTTATTTATTGATGGTGCTGAGGATTGAATCCAGTGCCTTACACTTGCTAGGCAAGTGCTCTACCATTGAGCCACAACCCCAGCTCAGGCTATCATTTTTAATGGTAAGATTAATCCTGTGTTCAAATTTTCTTAGCTTAATCCATGCATTATGTTTCTTTTTAACCCAATGGTTTTGGCAACCACAGCTCATTTTCTAGGTTGGTTATTTCCTCAGGACTACAAAATGGTGATGTTTTAATCCCAACATTTCTTCCACAGTTGATATTTCGAGATCCCAAAAAGAAGACCTGTCATTTATTGACTGCTTGATTACTCTGGAGTACTGTTCAACTAATGTGTGTGCCTTAGCAATTTCCAAAAGTGAATATATTTTTAATGTATTTAATGTTTCAGTCAGTGGTAGTCATTATCTTTTTGATGTTCAAGTTGACTCACCTTTGGCTAGTGGGTACCTTTTGTCCTTCAAATTGGCTTTATGTCATTTTTTCCTACAATCCTAGTAGTCTTTGGTAGCTAGCTTCCTAGTACAACAAATACCCCATAGTCTTGGTCACTTTAAGTGGGAAATGATATGGAGAGACCATAGTTTACAATAGGAGTGGTTTGTGACTGAGTAATATCTGTTTTAAGGCTTTTTCAAGGGAAAGAGCACGGAATGGGTATTTATTTATTTTGGTACTGGGGACTGCACATAGGGATGCTTTACCTCTGAACTACATCTCTAGCCCTTTTTATTATTTATTTAAAAATATTTTTTAGTTGTCAGTGGACCTTTATTTTATTATATGTGGTGCTGAGAATTGAACCCAGTGCCTCACACATGTTAGATAATTGCTCCACCACTGAACTATAACCCCAGCCCTCCAGCCCTTTTTATTTTGAGACAGGGTCTCACTAAGTTATTTAGGACCTTGTTAACTTGCTGAGGTTGGGCTCTGACTAGCAACCCTCATTCCTCAGCCTCTGAGTCTCTGGGAGTACAGGCTTGTGCCTGTGCACTCAGCTAAGTAGTGGGTGTTTATGAGGTAAATGAATCATAAGTTTATTGATACTCCAGTTCAAATTTCAGATTATAGAATTTTACCATGATTTTTATATTTGAATCTAGTTTTCTTTTGACGCTGCAATTCTTGATTCCTAATGATAGATATTACCTATTTGCCAACATTTGTAGTAACAAGACTGACTACTGGATATAGTTTTTGAGGGTTTTGTTTTTCCTTTCTCTTACATTTGGCTAAGGATATGTGGTTAAATGTTGTGTTTTATTTATTTATTTTTTTGTATCAGAAGTCTATTTTCCATTATTTTATTTATTTTTAAAAAAAAATTTTTATTGTTGGTTGTTCAAAACATTACATAGTTCTTGATATATCATATTTCACACTTTGATTCAAGTGGGTTATGAACTCCCATTTTTACCCCGTATACAGATTGCAGAATCACATCAGTTACACATCCATTGATTTACATATTGCCATACTAGTGTCTGTTGTATTCTGCTGCCTTTCCTATCCCCCCTCCCCTCCCCTCTCCTCCCCTCTTCTCTCTCTACCCCCTCTAATGTCATTCATTTATCCCCCTTGTATTATTTTTCCCTTTCCCCTCACTTCCTCTTGTATGTACTTTTGTATAACCCTGAGGGTCTCCTTCCATTTCCATGCAATTTCCCTTCTCTCTCCCTTTCCCTCCCACCTCTCATCCCTGTTTAATGTTAATCTTCTTCTCATGCTCTTCGTCCCTACTCTGTTCTTAGTTACTCTCCTTATATCAAAGAAGACATTTGGCATTTGTTTTTTAGGGATTGGCTAGCTTCACTTAGCATAATCTGCTCTAATGCCATCCATTTCCCTGCAAATTCTATGATTTTGTCATTTTTTAATGCAGAGTAATACTCCATTGTGTATAAATGCCACATTTTTTTAAATGTTGTGTTTTAAAAGTGGCTTGAAATAATTAGGTGTGGTTATGCCATCGACTTTATATCTTGTTCACTTGTTTCATTCATTCATATATATATTTCATTCATTCACATATATATGTAGTATTTTCGATTATCTTAAAATATGTCTCTAAATAAAAACAAGGTATAATCTGAGAAATTTTTGCTTCTATCCTATCTCTTCTACCCTACTCTCTATTTTCTGCATAAGCAGCTACTTGGTTTTAGTTTATCATTCCATTGTGGCCTTTTTTAAAGCGAAGGAAGAAAAGCAAATGTGTATTTAAATTTGAATTCCCTTAAGTTTTTTACAAAAAGAGTAGCATTTTATAAAATACCATTCAGCTATAGAATAGAAAGTAGGAAACTATTATTAAGATCTGTCAGAGCAGCTTTTTTCACTCTTTATATAAAATTTCCTCTTAGTTGTCTCCACAACAAGCTCCTCAAAGAATACACACGTTTAAAAAGGACAAGACCACCACCCAACACATTTGCCAATATTTGGAAAAATTGAATATTCAGTAATTCCCCTTCTAGAAGTCCTTACCAAAAGTGCACCTAACAACATGGCACAGTAACTTAGTGCTTAGGACCACATCATCATTATCTTTTAAGTATGTATATATATATATATATATATATATATATATATATATATATATATATAAATTTATATATATATAAATTTTTTTTGAAAACATTGTTGACATTGATATTGTTGGCATTAACATTATTGGTTTACAGAGAAACAAAGAGCATTTTGAGATTTTACTGTTCTTTTTTACTGTTTTATTTTGCTTACTTAGGGTTTTTTTGGTTGTTGTTTATTTTTTGTTTTTAATGTGGTGCTGGGTATCAAACCCAGTGCTTCTCGTGTGCTAGGCAAGCTCTCTACCACTGAGCCACAACCCTAGCCCCTGAGATTTTACTATTTTAAAATACTGTTAGGTTAAATATTTTATCAATTAAACTTAAGTAGTTCATCAGTTTACTCATTTTTTCAGTAAATATTTACTGAGCACTTAATGGCATGATTGTCATTGTTTAGATACCAGTAAATAAAACTGACAAAATCCCCTTCTGGGGTTTTTATTCTAGGTATAATGGGTAAATAGACAAATAGGAAAAAAGTAGCTTATGTATATAATCTGTTGATTTATTGTGTTAAAAACTGCATTTTAAGGACTCCCTTATCAATGTCTACCTTATTTTCCTTTTTACTTGTTCCAGTGTCTTAATTCCTGAGTCCACTCAGGAATTTTAACACCCAGCTGGGTGAAAGGCAGTGAGGACTGAAGTATTCTGGTCCTGTGGGACAACAGTTCATTTTATATTCCTCCCACCTCATTCTCAGTCTTCTTCATACTTTGTTAGGAGGTTGCTCAAGAATTTTGTTTTGGGGGGTGGGGTGGGTGGGTACCAGGGATTGAACCAGGGACACTCGACCACTAAGCCACATACCCAGCCCTATTTTGTATTTTATTTAGAGACAGGGTCTCACTGAGTTGCTTAGTGCCTAACTTTTGCTGAGGCTGACTTTGAAATCGCAATCCTCCTGCCTCAGCCTCTCAAGCCGCTGGGAACTCAGGCATACATCACCGTGCCCGGCCTCAAGAAGTATTTTGATATTTCTCTATGGTCACTAAAATTTAGATAATTGTCCTTAAAGATTTTAAATATTTTTATAGTATATTCAGTAATCACATTCTTAATAACTGTACCTTTATTTCAGAAATGGCCATTAAGAAGTAGATGCCCAGATACAAAGGTGATGAAACAGTCCATTTGTCATAAAGTAAGATGCATCTGTGGCCTTTCAACCATATTAGTAAGTATAACCAATTTATTTTAACTTTATGGGCATTTTATCTACAATGAAAAATGTTGAATAAAAACATGGTAGACATTAAAAGTATCACCTTGTATTTCTTGTTTTTAATATATTTTCTAGTATAATTTCAATCATAGTTCTAGAAAGTCTGTGCTGTACCATTTTAAGAATCATAAAGGTAATATCACTGAATCACAGTTTTTCTTTAAAATATCTTTTTTAGTTGTAGATGGACACAATACCTTTGTTTGTTTATTTATTTATATATTTTTATGTGGTGCTGAGGATTAAACGCAGTGCCTTATATATGCTAGGCAAGCACTCTACCACTGAGCCACAACCCCAGCCCTGAATCATAGTTTTAGAGAAAATATATGGAAAAGAGTCATTATAATACTACTCTCCAAATACAGCTACTCATAATTTTTGGATGTTTATTTTCCTTCCAGTCTTTTGTTCTATAGTGTTTTTTTTGCTAATTTTTATTTATTTATTTTTAACTGGGGATTGAACCCAAGCGTGCTTGATCACTGAACTCAGCCCTTTATTTTTTGTTTTGAGACAAGGTCTTGCTAAGTTGCTTAGGCTTTGCTAAATTGCTGAGGCTGACCTCAAACTTGTAATCTCTCTGCCTTACCCTCCCAAGTCACTGCAATTACAGATATTTGTGTTTTACATATTTTTGAAATGTAATTATGATCATAGTATTGTAAAGAGTATGGTTCTTGAATATTTCTTCAAATCAAATTTTGTTTCAGATGTTTCTACCTGGAATTATAAATGCATCCTTCATTATGGGGTTTCTTATTGGGGTTATGAAAAAAATTGGGGAATTAGGTGGTGATAGTGGTTACGAAGCTTTGACTAAATTAAAAATTTCTATTGAAATGGATGAATTTTATGTATGTGAATTATGCCTTAAAAAGCTTTTAGACTATCAAGTCCTGAAAAGAGTAATACTTATTCAATTGCTGATGTTTTAGAATACAAAAATGTACCACAAATCATTTTGTACCTAGCAAACAATTTGATATTCAGTCAATGGAATTGTGTTTTTGTAATAATTAGAAATAAAAAGTTTTTTAAAAGTGAGATAAAAAATGACACAATTTTAAAAAAAATGTTTTTTAGTTGTTGATAGACCTTTATTTACTTATTTATATGTGGTGCTGAGAATCGAACCCAGTGTGTCATACATGCTAGGCAAGCGCTCTACCACTGAGTTACAACCCCAGCCCTGATAAGTATTTTTATTAAATGAACTTTCAGTATTAGAGATCTACTTTCTCAAGCTTTTATAGTATTGATACATAATACTCTGAATGTAGTATATTAACATTTTGTAACTTCATTTTCAAGAGGCTATTTTGAAACTAACATCTCAACTTTTTTTTTTTACCTAAAATTGTTTTAGGAACAAAATTGTATCTGTTTTCCTCAGAAGAGAATTCCACAAGGTAAGAAATTGTTAATATAATATGACTAAATGTAGTTGTATGTAGGCTTAATAGCTCTTGATTTTTGTAGGCTATTTCCCATAATTATTTCATATCTTTTTTTGATTACTATTTGCATAAATTTATTATTCTTTTTTTTTTTCCCTCAGCATTTGTTAGGAAAATACTGTCCTCTTGTTTGATGTTAGAATTAGAAGGGTATGATAAACATGGTCACCTTTAAAACTACTGCATTCTCATTTATGGAAATTGTATAACTAATGTGTTTATTTTAAAATATGAATTCTTCCTAGTAGATTTATGAAGAATAAAATGTTAAGTGATTAGTTAGTAAAGTCTTATGTGCCCAAGAACTTGAAATCAAGTATTTGGCAGGTTTAAGAATTTTGTTTAATTTTCTCAGGAACTTCTTTAGATAGATTAATTCAATCTGTTATTAGAAATGCTTTTATAGTGAATTTTTGAGATTGATAACTATTTCTTAGTATTCACTTTTTTCCTCACCACAAGTTCTGAGTGGTATATGAAACTTCCAAATATATCTTTTTCTCCATTTTTAAACTGCTTTAGTTAATTGGGTCAATTTCTATACTGGTTTGTAAACAAAGAGTTAAAATAAAGGGACCCATTAGCTGAAGGGAGAGCAAATCACTAAGATTTTTTCCAGTTTTTTGTGATACTCCTTCCCCCTATTTTTTCCCTTACTTCTAAGAGATGAAAGGAAGAGGTCCTGGAACCCTTGTGTAGCACTGTTTGATCTTTGTTGTTCAAAGGTGGAGAGGCAGTACTTCAGGAGAAATATAGATCTCTTTACTTGTATCACCGTGCATAAAGCAAAAACAAGTTTAAAAAACTTTAATCTCAGTAAACTTACTGTTAGATCTCTATCATTGTCCTTTTGGTAAATGAAATTTAAATCTTTCACATTAGTACAATGCATGATACACCACGGTGATGAATCATAATGTCTGGTACTCTTGGGTTCTCTTGGAAAGTGTTTGTTAAATATTTATTTTTGTAAGCATTCAGATGCTTTTATAGTTTATTTTATTTTGTTTTTTGGTGCCAGGGATTGAGTCTTAAGAGCATTTAACCACTGAGCCACATCCCTAGTTCTTTTTATTTTTTGAGACAGGGTCTCACAGGTTGCTTACAGCCAGCAGAGTCTGGCTTCAAACTCACAAGTGTTTGGTATATCAGCCATGTGCTCGGCTATAATTTTATTTTTAGGGTAGAAATTTTCAAGGGAAAATTGTCCCCCCCCCACCTCTCTTTTTAAAGACACCAAGGATTGAACTCAGGGGCACTCGCCCACTGAGCCACATACATCCCCAGCCCTGTTTTGTATTTTATTTAGAGACAGGGTATCACTGAGTTGCTTAGCACCTTGCTTTTGCTGAGGCTGGCTTTGAACTCACAATCCTCCTGCCTCAGCCTCCTGAGCCCCTGGGATTATATGTGCCCAGCATAACCAGTCATTCTTCACATTTGTATAGTATTATCCTGCTTAGAAAGCGAGGTGTTAAAGGGTCAGTGACAATGTTTAAAAAAATGTTAATTATGCATACACTTTAAAAAATGGTTGAAATGGTAAATTTTGCATCACATAGCATATTTTACACAATTTTGTTTAAATTTGGGGGTAACTTATGAAGGAGGAGGACTCTGATGTAACGTTTTTAACATCAAGTTACAGTAATTCTTTTTTTTTTTTTTAAAGAGAGAGAGAGAGAGAGAGAGAGAGATACATTTTTAATATTTATTTTTTAGTGGACACAACATCTTTGTACAATGTGGTGCTGAGGATCGAACCTGGGCCGCACGCATGCCAGGCGAGCGCGCTACCGCTTGAGCCACATCCCCAGCCCCAAGTTACAGTAATTCTAATAATGTTGCTCAATTTGTGTTATACCCGTCATCATTGATTCATTAAAGGACTGTTCTTTTATTTTAAGTCTATTTCCCATATATATAAGACCTTTAAATATTTTAATGTGTATTTTGTGTGTTCTTTTATGTGTGTGTATATATTATTGGCATCATTGTCGTTATCATTATCATTTTGTGATACTGGGGATCAAACCTAGGTGCCTTACCCTGGAGCTATATCTCTAACCCTTTTTATTTTATTTTTGAGACAGGGTCTCACTAAATGGCTGAGAATGGTCTTAAATTTGTGATCCTCGTGCTTCAGCCTCCCAAGTCACTGAGATTACAGGCATGTCCACTAAGCCCAGCCCTTGTGCCTATATCGTAATTTATATAGAAGATAGACTGTCACCCTAAACCATGCCTAATATAACTTAAGGAACCCATAGAGCATAAATTACTCTTTCTGACCTTAACAAACCTTAGAATGAAATGGTTTAACCTCATAAATTTCTTTCCTTCCCTTCATCTCTCCTTTCTTCTGGTACTAGGGATTGAACACAGGGCCTTGTGCACGCTTGGCTAGAGTTCTATCACTGCACTACTTTACGAACCATATTTTGACATGTGAAAGGGAAATATTATATATTACCTCTTATTTTTGGATCCCGCTCCACTCTTCCCTGCAAAACTGGCCTTGTTACTGAGTGTTCATCAAATTTGTTTTGTAAAACTGCTACATTATATTCCAGGTTATATTTATGAACATGTTAAATGTAAAACTTCCTTAAAAGTATAAGGCATCTAAAATGGGCATTTAGGAAAAGGCCAACTTGTGCTTATCTCATCATATTAAAGTTAAAAGAATGTGAGTTAAATGTAGTCAATGTATAGAGGAAGAAATACAGACATCTGTTTAGAAGATCTGCCTATTGAAGATGAGTCAAAGTGAAGGATGATGGACGCTGGCAAAGTGGAGCATGCCTGTAATCTCAGCAATTTGGGAGGATGAGGCAGGAGGATCACAAGTTCTAGGTGAGCCCCAGCAATTTAATTCTCCCTGATCTTTTAGCTAGAAATTGGCAGAATGGATACTGCCATTTAACAAGACCCTAACTAAATTGGGTACTGTAGAAGCTCCAAGTTCATGGTAATAGTATTTACCATAATAGTTAAAAGAAGACAAAGAAAGGGAGGGGCTCTTGTGAGAGGATGGTATCCTTCTTGACATTAAGCAGAAGATAATGACAGTAGTGATCAGATCTGAGAGTGGCTGCTATTTGTGGAAGAAATTGAAGGCACCTTGTTAGGACAATTTCTTGGTGTGGAAGGAGGGTCATGGGGCACTTAGTTCTGGGGTCTAGGAAGAAATGTGGAAATGATTCATAGTGGAATGGAGAAGGGGAAGTGTCTTAGTCTATTTGTGATGCTGTGACAAAAATACTACAGTGGGTAATTCATAGAGAATAGAAATTTCTCATAGTTCTGGAGGCTGGGGATTCTAAGATCGTGTTGGTAGCAGGTTCCATTGTCTGGTAAGGGCTGCATTCTCCAGAAGAGGAGTGCTATATATTTGGTAGAAGGTGAAAGGGCTTTATGAAGCCCCTTTGGTAAGGGCCTTAATCCCATCTACAAGGGAGAAGCCCTCATGCTCTCTTGTCACTGTTGTTTTGAGACAGGGTTTTTGTTATGCTGCTTAGGCTGGCCTAGAACTCACAGTCCTCCTGCTTTAACCTCCCAAATAATTGGGATTATAGGTACTTGCCACCATGTCTGTCCCTAATCACCTCTTAAAGACTACCTCATAGTACCATCTCATTGATCATTGTTTGGACACCTGAATGCTGAAGGGAACACATTGAAACAACAGCAGGAAGGGAATTCACATAAAGTCAAGGTTGAGGATTTTTGAATGTAGTTATTTATATGTCTTCACATTTTATAAAATGTTTGGTGGGAAGACCAGAAACTCTTGTTGAAGTTGATATTGATATGCATAGTTCATGCTTCCTTGATTACTTCTACCCTTTAAAAATGTAAAAATTTAGAGAGTTAGATATCAAGTCCCTTTCTCCAATGTCTTTAATTTTTGAGTCTTGTATGGCAAAATAATTTTATGACTTTCACTTTGATATATTAGCACATAGCATAAGCAAAATAGATAATATTTACGTTTTACAAATAAGGAAAACAACTGTAGAGTTGGCTTTAAGTTCTTTTTACTAACCTATATTGCCACTCTATCAATTGATACTTTGTTATATATAGCAAATATAATTGCTAGTTTAGTAATTACATTGATGTTGGGAGCTGCCACATAGGGGCTGAGCACCCTTATCCTTGAGCTATGACTTCTGCTGTACAAAAGCAAGTGGATCTCGCCTTGGCTGGACAGGGGAGTGAAGCTCTGGGAGTGGGCCTTACCTAATGGGAGTGGGCTGCCTCCACATTCTTTTATAATACTACCCTTTTACCTTTTTTGGTTGGGATGTTCTATCAAACAGCTCTCTTCAATAAAAACCAGTTTGAGGCATGCTCACTTTCTTTCCAGTGGACCCTTAAGGTCGAGAGCCATCCCTGATTCCTGCAAGCAGAAGGTATTTCTTTGTGTTGTATACTTCTTTCACTGTTTTCTTAGTTTTTGATGTAGACAGCTCCTGTGAACCCAGTTCAGGTCACCAGCCTGGCTAGCTGTCGATACATTGAGAGAAGTGTTTCTAACCATGAAGAATCTCATGGCCTGAGAAGTTTAAAAAACACCTAAAAACAAAAATGAAAGCAACGAATAATGGAGGTGGTAGTCCTTATCTTAAGATTCACTAAATCAGCATTTATTAATTTAATATGGATTTGGTTTAACTCTGTTATATAGAGAAGTATTTCATGAATATTTTCAATTTAGAGTGACTATCATAAATTTAGGTAGTTTTAGTTTACTTTACTTTCCTTAAAGATTAGGGGTTTAGTTTTTTTTTTTTTTTCCTTTTGTTTTTGATACTGGGGGTTGAACCCAGGAGTGCTCAACCACTGAGCCGCATCCCCAGCCCTTTTTATTTTTTATTTTGAGAAAGCTGTCTCCCTGAGTTGCTCAGGGCCTCTCTGAGTTGGTGAGGCTGGCTTTGAATTCAAAA